CTGTAACAACACCAGGGTCCATATCAGGACGGCACTAACACACAGGTGAGGCGAGGGTAAGACGGGCAGTGGAGGAAAAGCTACAGGCTGCAGGAAATCAGAGAGGAGACAGCGTGAGGACAGGTGGCAGAGAGCTGCTGAGGGAGAGGCATCACGGAGATCACAGAGGGGGAGATAGGGGCATAGGTGCGGCATCCGGAAGAGTCTGTTTTAGTTGATTTTGGTTCTGTAAAGTCACAAAAAAATAAGTTGAACATCTGAAGTCTGGTACAGCGAGGCGAGGGGAGCGAGGGGACGCCGAAGAGCACGGAAGGGAAGGTCCTGCAGACGACTAATACCCCTGAAAGAAAGGAAGGAAGGGAGGAGGATGGTGTCAGCGGTTAAAGACGTATTTAGATCCTTTACTTGAATATACGTAGTAATACCACAATGTAATAAAAAATATGCCATTACAAGTTAAAGGGGCACTCCACAGATACCATACATCAAAATCAATTAAGTTATCATGAGCAGTGGTGGAAAGTAACTAAGTACGTTTACAAAAGTCCTGCACTTACAATTAAAAAAAAAAAAAAAAAAAGATTTTCTTGCTAAACTGATTTGCATTGAAAACAGTCTGGAATATTCCCTCTGCACTTGCATGTCACACATAATTTGATTTGACTGGAATGCTGTTATACCAACAGCAGCCTAACTTGTTTTCTTACCTCTCCTCCTTCCCCACCCTGCTCCATTCCTCCATATTCTCCCTGCAAGAGGAAATAAGAAGAGTGAGAAAAAAAGGTGGAGCTGAGAGAATGAAAGAATGAGGTGTAGCAGGGCAGAGGGCTTTTTCGCTTTCGTTTTCCTCCAGCTCTAATATGACAAAGCAGTTACGACTACAAAGGCCATGCTGTAAGGTTGACTCAACTCTTATTACCATGCGTCAGACTTCTCAGGTGGTTCAGTTAGTTGATTAGAGCGATACAGCATATAAGGGTGCCAGGCACCAGGTGCACAGGCCTCGTTCAGCCTGAGCAGTGCATGAAGCTATTTTGGTGCATGCCATGAAAATGTTCGCTGGCTGTGGCTTATCCGACGTGCTGGAGATGTGGCCGAGAGCTTGTAGGCCACTTCACGCTACACAGAGGAGCTACATGGTTAAAAATGGAGTTTTAGTATCGTTGTTGCCTAAACCACATAACTGAATGAGCGTCTGAGAGGTCAGAGGAAAATGTTTGTGAGTCATTCACAACTTCCTTTTCTGAATATTGCAAAGACGTCATGCGTTTTTATGCTTTTATACAATCAAAAGAAGATTTTATCCAAAGACTGCAGGGATTTGTCCATCTTTATTTGGGAAGCATCACAGCAGCTTCCGTTTCTATTTTTCCCTCTTGACGCTCACAAAGTCTGTTGTGGCTTATTATCTAATATACACCGAGCTACCAGTTTATTAGGTACACTTGTGCCATTTAATGTAATCCAATACAACAGTCCTGAAGTAAATCCTACCATAAAACATTCTGCTGGAAAAGATTTATTGCAGGTATATTGGATTAGGTTGTACAGGCGTACATAATGAACTGTCAACTTGGTGCATGTAGCATGCAGAGTATCCCTTCTCTGTCACCCCAGCATGACCTATGACCCCACACTGCTCTGTCCAATAAGCACCTCGTATACAGGCTCCTCCTATCAGGGGAACACAGATGAGACACAACATAAACAACAAAAGGTGAGCGACACAGAACAACACACAAGACAGAAGCTTTGCCACAGTACGATAACAAAAGAAGCAACAGACAAGACACAAAAAGAACTTTTAGACAGACGTGCATGAAAGAGACAAAGATTAGGTGTCCGTCTAACATCTGACAAATAGGTTTGAGAACGAAACATGGAGGGCCAGCATTTAGGAAAAATGTTTCAATAACTTTACAATGTAGCTGTGCAGTTCATTTCAGCTTTAATGGATATAGTATATTTTGACTTGAGATCTGGTTAAAAACAGTAGGCCACATAATAAACTAATACAATGTAAATACAGTGTAATAAAATTACTTCAGCAGCTAGTGCTACGAAGCAATAACCGCCAGATCTAAGCTACAGCTAACCTTAGCTGGCAGTCAGTTAGTTGGCCGCCTCTGCCTTGCATCGCTCTTGGCGATATTATACAAATATTTATGTCAATGAATATTTCAGACTGTCGCCTTGGCCTCTGGAAAATTAATTTCTGAGTAGAAATAAAATGTCTTTGGTACACTGCAGCTCTCTGTGTTTAATGTGGTGACACAGCTCTATCTAGTTAAAGATCTTATTAAAGATCATTCAATATCACTTTTAGGCAACATTTAGTTTCTGGACCTGTAAGTCTGTCTGTTGGAAGAAAAAAACCAATAATAGTTCAGATCCTTTTTTCATATTTTTCTTTATGTTTATGTGAAGAACTGCTGGTGTAAGCTAACCCAACGTTACCACGATAACTGACCTGGTTGACCATCCCGGTCGACGCGGCGACGTTCTCGACCCCCTCCACGGATGCCTGTGACACTTCATTGGCCCCGGCAACCGCTGCATCTCCGACGATGTTGGCCTGATCCACGGTCCTGTTGGACACTAAGATGCAAAGTGGAGGATGGTTAGTGGAACGGAAACACACTCAAATCTAACTAAAAAGGAGTCTCTTTAAGTTTGTCTGTCCTTTGTATTTTTTGACAAGCATTCCAATCACCACAATATTAACCATTACACTGCTAAAAGGCATGCTGACCACAGCTCGCTCTCCGTCAATGTTCGGGTGAGCTTTTGCACCCAAATGATCTATAATTTAGCATTAACATCACATGTCTAGCAGGTGTATCGCTGATGACCCAAGGAATTGACCCAAGTTGTTTGTATGTGCAGTTCTCAAGAAGCAAATATAAGCTACTAGAGGCCACGCGATTGATGGGCCAATCATTTTTATTCGAAAACATTTATGACAAAGCATAGATCCCAAATCTCTGTCAGTATAGTGCGCCGTCCTCTTTGCCCGTAATGGACTCATTACTGCCACCCGAGGGCCAGAAAACACGCACTGACGGTTGGTGAGAACCGCAGTGGGTGTTTTTATTCCCAGCCACAAGGGGCAACAACGAGCCCATTACAAACTCAACAATAACCTTTAACAAGTGACACAAATTACATTTCATGCTGCGTCTGAAGTGTTTTTGAAAAAAGAAAAATGTCCTCACTTTCACAAGATTGCTGAGGTCAGGAATAGGGCTAGCAGGTGCACAGTGTTTCTTACCTGTGTTTACTGATGCCGCCATTCCCTCCTTTGTCTTACTGCCTGTGGATCAAACAGAGATTACGATCAAATTCATGTACACGTGTCCTGCTTTGATAGAAAAATGACATATTATGAAGCTTTTATGAAGCAGTCTTGTTGCATATTTTATGTAGTTTTTTTTTTTTTTACATTTATGTTGATTTATTTTGTGAGTATTTGTTTTTTGCCTTTTATAATCACTGAGGGATGATTGCAATGGGATGCTAAGCCATGAACCTTACACCTAATGTAGTAATTAATCTTGTAGTAATAAGAGAACAAGCTTATTATAATAACTGACTATTTATACTGAACATCATAATTACATCATTAGATAAAAGGGCTTCACCCTTTAGAAGTGGCAATTATTACATCAATGTAAAAATGTGATGTTGCTTTGTTCAAGTTTTCTTTTACTTCAATAAACACATTCTTTGTGTTTAATTGCCACAAAATCATAGAAACAACATATAAAACAACATAGAAGTTGGAGTGCTAACACATATTTATTCCTGCCTTTTAGAGACATTTCTTAGCTGCTGTTGCCCTCCAAGACATCCTTTATTGAGAGTTGAGTTAGCAGTATCCATAGTATCTAAAAATACATTTCAAACACTCAGTGTCCTTTCAGTGTGACTGAAGCATCTCCCTGGTTCCGTCTGCTTGGATTGTTTAATTTTCTGTTATCTTATCTTTTAGAACTCAGTCTTAGGTGTTTAGAAGCTCTATAAATCTTAGGAGACTTGACATTTTGCGTTATATGGAAACATTTCCATTGGGAAATAATCTGTGAACAGCAGCACCTCTCTGCATTTCCCTCTCTGCTCACCAGCTCATTATAGTATGATCCAAAGCGGATTAAATTGTGGTTATATAATCTGCCAGAGTGAGGGATAGACGGAGGGAAATATCTGCTCGAAGAGATGAAAGAGAATAATGAATAATGGGAGGAAGGTTGAAACTAAGGAAGAAAAAATCTGCAGAATATCATGATGTCGTGCACACACAGACCGCTCCCTCGTTTACACAGATGCTGCCATTAAAAGTATCCTGCATCCACCTCTGTCTCTTGCTTCCCTCCATTTCTCTGCACGCTCCCTGTGCTTCATGAGCCACGTGCCTGAGTACTGAGCAGTACTGCAGTACAGTCACACACACACACACACACACACACACACACACACACACACACACACACACACACACTGCAATGACACAGCTTCTTTCTCCCAGACAACAGAGGGAGCCACCTGATTGTCACTGTGAATATCTGTCTGTCCCCATCACACAGAACAGACTGCATCTACAAAATTGTAAATTAAATAATCAAAAAAAGATTAAGGCAGAAGCAGATGCGATTCTCCATGTGATGCACAGGACACTGCTGAAAATATCAGCTGAACAAGAAAGCCATTTTTTTTTTTAAATGGCCCTGAAAGTAAATGGCAATCCCGATCGACAGCTTGTCTCAATAAATGAAGATTGCACGGATTAGAATGTTTTTTCCTATTATGAAATAATGTGCAAATATATGGCATTCGTCGTATTTTTACAGAGGAGGATTTGTGTTTTAGCAGTCGTGATGAGATGAAAGCTCAGACGTGTCCCTGATTTATTGAAAAATCCTAATAATGGTGATAAATTTGTATGTGTTTGCAGCGATGTAAAATATAAAATACATGCACTGAGCAAGTCACACGTGTACACTTTAAATGTCCATAACATAAAAACGTAAAAAACTAAAAAAATCCATTATAAAAATGTAAAAAACTAGGCTGAACTATGTTGAAAAAAATAATTGCAATATGATTTGCAATATTAAAGGGAATGATAATGTAATTTTTATTGGAAAACATTAAAATAATTATGGTGTGGTTTTTGCAGGGATCTGAACATATGATCATCAGAATATGATGTGTAGGCCAGCACGTCTCTGCAGCACGACAACATTTAACTTAAAGTGGTATTTTGACACACATTTGGACTTAAAAAAAAGGTTTGGCCCTTTTGTGAAAGCAGACGTGCAGACCTCGATACTTTCTACACAGTCACTGACGTATGCACTCTGCTGCAGGCCGTTACAATGCTTTATCGGCGCCATCGACCCTCCCCACTTCAGCGATCACATCCCCTCTCCCTCTTCTGTTCCTCCCCCTGTGATCTGCATATCATTTTCCTCCATGTTACTTTTCTCTCCATCTTTCAGTCCACCCCACGCTCTCCTTTACCTGAGCTCGTCACCAACCTGTACCCTCTGGAACGTCCAGGTTTCACTTTCTAGTGACTGTCGTGCCTCCACCTCCATCATCCCTCCATCACTATGTGTCAACCGTCTCTCTCTTTTTGCCAACCCACCATCTGTTCATACTGGAGCCACGAGGCTAGAAGCTCAGAGCTTTTTCTGACATAACACCCCTCCCTTCTCTCTCCCTCTTTTCTCTCTCCGTCTCTCCTCCTGCATCCCTCCATCTTTGTTGGTTGGTTGTTTTTAGAGCTGCGGGGGGAGGAAGGTGGTTAGTCATCAAAGCAGCACACACTGGCAGGCAAATCCTGCTGCTGCAACGCCACAAACGAGCACACACGTCCTTGCATCAAAACGAGTGTGGGGTGAGGTCGGAGGGGGGTGATGGGAGGGTAAATTACTGCAGTGCTCAAGTGATCCTTGCCCTCTCTTCCTCACACCCCCCCCCCACCCCTCTTTCAGCTCAGGACATTGACTCTTTCACTCATACCGTCACATTTTTCTTTTCCCTTTCATTTCCCTCATCATGATTTTTGAAGCTGCTGTGTGACTGAAGGGACAGACTGCAGACGACGACGAAGATTTCCACTCCGCTAACACCTCACCCACCCACCCTCCTACTATCACAACGCCCCTCCCCTCTCTGGCGGCCTAAAAGCCTGGCACTCGAGGTAACCTTGAGATGTGACGCATTTGCTGCTTGAGCTAATATAAAAGAACGGGAAACCACAGCTTGACCATAAAGCATCTGGAGTGTTTTTCAAATTTTAAATCTCTGTCCGTCCTCATACACCTGCATCTTCAAAGGTGAATTTATACATTTATTTTTAAATATCTGTGAATATATCTCAAAAAACGCACGGTAGCCTATCCAATGTAGGTCAACTCTATTCTGGGAATTAAACAAGGCGGATAAACCGAGTCCCTGGGGACATTCATCGCTGCATTGAGTCCATCACCGGACGTCCTTCTGCGAACTACTCCACAAACCATTCAATGTGAATAAAATAGGGCAAGTGACAAAAGCTTGAGGCGGCGCCATCACAAGATCATTCCTCTTTCCTCTCTTCTCCTCTTTTATTCCTTTTCTTTTTACCACAAAACACACAGACCAATCCTCCACCAGCTACTGTCGTGCTACGCAATTACAACTTTTGTCCACCTCATTCTCCATCCAACTCCCCCTCCTCACTCTTTCAGACCCCCACCCTCTGCCCTGCACCAGTCCTGCAGCAGTATCCTGCCAGTGCTCTCTCCATCCCCTCCTTTCTTCCTCCTCCTCCCTCTGTTCTTGTCGCTTCTCACAAGTGCCCCAGACATGGACACCCAAGGGACCCCTACTCAAAAGGTGCAAAAACACATAATGCAACCATACACACACACACACACACACACACACACCAAACAATGAGGGCATCTTCCCCAAACTTACCCACTTTCTTCTTTTTAATACAACCTGGTGTCAGCTCTACAGACAAGATGCGTTACGTACCTACATACATCACCCCTTCCTTGGTCTTGGCTGCTGCCTCTTCCATGCCGGCTTTGGTCTTCTCTGCAGCGGCCACCACTCCCTCCTTGGCCATGGAGAACCCTTTCATGAATACATCCATCTTGGGCGACGAGACGGCTGAGCTCCCCTGCTCCAAATGGGCCTGGCTGGTGATTACAGCGAGCGTGCAGAAGAGATGATAGGAGAGTGCGTGTGTGTCGGTGGGAGTATGCGTGTGTGTTGTGCTGGTGGCTCCTCCTCCCTTTTGGTGCTGCAACAGAGGGCTGAGAGGACCGCACAGCAGGACTACAGTATGCAGACTGGGAGAAAGAGGGAGGGAGGAAACAGCCGGTATGCACAAGATGGAGAGAAGGAGGAGGAGGAGGAGGAGGAGGAGGAGGAGGGACGGCCGGATGCTGCAGCATTTTCAAGTCATGCTGCAAGTCAGCCACACCTCCAACCGTCATCCATCTTTGTCCGGAGGATTCTCACTCATGCTCAGTGCAGCCTCCGGCCTGCGGTTTGCGTATTATGATTGGCAGATTTCCCTGGACACACCTTTTCTACATGATGAGGTTGTGTGCACCGTTACATAACCAGCAGAGCTTCAGCGCTGAACGCAAAGAGGATTTTTCACATCATAGGCCTTGTGAGATTTTGTCATGTGATCTGTAGCCCCCACAATATGATTCTTTCTTCCTTTTCCCTGATACTGAGTCCTCGCTTTAAGTATTATGTATAAAAATATTTTATATGTATTTAATTAAACTGAATTACGAGAGAAAAGGGGAGCACCTGCAGCCATTTCTATTCTTGAGGAGGAGAGAAAATGCTTCGTCATCTCCACCTGAATCAAAGCTGCAAACAGCGATGAACGGGCCCTTGCATCCTCCCACAAGTCGGGGTTTCACACTCTGACACTGTAAAACGTCACTGATGATGCAACTCTGGTGGAACGAGGTCTCCTATCTGGTGGACCAGTGCAGCAATAACAATCTGGAACTGAACATCAACAAAACTAAAGAACTTGTGATGGACTTCTGTAAAAAAACAGGAAGAGCTACCAAGGGTCATCAACCACCAGGTGGAAGAGAGAGTGGATCATTTCAAATTCTCTGGACTACAATCTTCACCATCATTGAGAAGAAAGCTCACCAAGGACCACTCTTTTTTTAGACAGCTTAGGAAATTTGATGTGTAAAAGGTTGCGACGGTAAAGTTCTACAGAGCGGTAATAGAAAGTGTGCTCACTTCTCAATAACTGTGCAATGGCAACTCTACAGCCTACGAGAAAAAAACTCATGGACAGAACTTTAAAAACAGTTGGCTGTGTACGCTCCCCTAGTTCTGAACTATACCATGTCTGCATTCAGCGTAGAGGTTTATGAATTCAAAAGGACTCTATGCAGCCTTCAACCTGCGGGTAAAAGACTACGCAGTATTTAGACGAGAATACCTCGCTTCACCGGTTGTGCAATCAAGCACATGCACTTCCACTTGTCACTGTAAGGGCGTGAGCCATTCGGCTGCACTATTGTATGCTTACTGTGTTGTACTTGTGGCAGTGTGTTTTTGTTCTGTGTGCTATGTGATTATACGTTTTTGTGGTTGAGTGCAACAAAACAAATTCAGAAGGCACTGTGATTGACATGGCAATAAAATACTGAACGTTTTGGATTGGTGTCTGATGAACCATAAAGGTATGAAGCAGTGGCGGCTTGTCAATAGAGGGCGCTAGGGCTCCGCCCCCCCCTTGAGCCACAAAAAGTAATAATAAAAAACTATACAAATTGTCAATATTTGTGTTTTTGAAATATGGAATGCACCCAGTAATATGTGTAAAATATGATATCTGCTCATAATATCTGCTTTTCCTGCACGTCTCCGCCTGTCTGCATGTCTCAGCAGCTCTGGGGCTCTGGAGGAAGTTCCCACAGAAGGCGGGTCTATGAAGCAGTTTAGCCAATTGCTGAATAAAGATATAAATGTGTGACATACAATTTAGCCAATCCGTGTCCTCAAATAGATTTAAACAATGGGCACAATCTGTATTGCCCCAAACTGCGCATGCTCGTCAGAACTAGTCTCGACAGGCGAGAGGAGAAGTTTGGCGGAGAAACTCCAGTGAAAGAGCTGATCCCAGATCAACCTGACAGCAGACTATCGGGAAAGGTAAGCGGTACATGCAAAGCTTCTCTAGTAGCTGGTACACCTGACAGGTTTGACTCGCTGGATGCAGTCATGTTAATCACTTATTTAGCTTCTTAAAACAACGGGGACAGATCCAGCATGGGCAGTTACGGGAGTGAGGGACATGAAGCACCTGTCTGAGAAATGGATATATAGTTATAAATAAATAATTTTATAAATATATATATATATATATATTATTTATTGATAACTCTGTCAAGCTAGCCATATTCAGCAAAGTGAACATCTTTTCTTCTACATAGCTGTCCTCAGTCTCATCTGCTTAACTTGGTCATGGAGGCATCAACATTTAATTGAGATGGTAAATTAACAGTGAAAACTCATCATAGCTTAATTTAACACCATTATTCCTAATTACACTTCATGTTTACTTCTCCTGATCTTTACCTCCTATAACAAGGTTCATAGGGGCATCTCAATAAATAAACATGTTGTGTTATATATATATATATATATATATATATATATATATATATATATATATTACATATGTGGCCTAATTAAAAGCATGAGACCAGACACTAAGATACATTTATATTTTATGTGGGTCTTTTATTTCCCCCGACTGCACTCTGTGTACAGCGTTAATTAGTCAAATGTTAAAAAGGTACAGAACAATTGACAGCAAAATTAAACAATTGCTTTTTACTCAATTTAGGATTACATAATAACAGGACTGACAACTGGAAACACTATATTCGAAAGCTACATAGAAAACAACAGTGTAGTGGCTTCCTCCTGTTAAGCAGAGACAAAGAACCTCTGCATCTGTCCCATGCTGTTCAACTCTCTGAGATATGTAGATAGCATTGATTTCAACAGGAACACAACTCCCATACCAGTACTCCGCCTGTGTGCTCGGACCCACACACATGGAACTCACGGCAGCTTCTGTCTCCCCTCTAAATGAAGCAGATGCATACAACTTAACACCATGTCTCTAAACAGTTAACAACCCCAATTACAAGGTATTTTATTGCCATGTCAATCACAGTGCCTTCTGAATTTGTTTTGTTGCGGTCAACCACAAAAACGTATAATCACATAGCACACAGAACAAAAACACACTGCCACAAGTACAACACAGTAAGCATACAATAGTGCAGCCGAATGGCTCACGCCCTTACAGTGACAAGTGGAAGTGCATGTGCTTGATTGCACAACCGGTGAAGCGAGGTATTCTCGTCTAAATACTGCGTAGTCTTTTACCCGCAGGTTGAAGGCTGCATAGAGTCCTTTTGAATTCATAAACCTCTAGGCTGAATGCAGACATGGTATAGTTCAGAACTAGGGGAGCGTACACAGCCAACTGTTTTTAAAGTTCTGTGCATGAGTTTTTTTTCTCGTAGGCTGTAGAGTTGCCATTGCACAGTTATTGAGAAGTGAGCACACTTTCTATTACCGCTCTGTAGAACTTTACCATCGCAACCTTTTACACATCAAATTTCCTAAGCTGTTATTTATCGACCCTCTTGAATGCATTATTTTTTCTTCCTGCATAGCATCTTAATCATTAACATGCAACTATTTACTAAATCAAATCTCAGTTAAACAAGGGGAAGATAGATAGATAGATATAAACTTTATTCATCCCCCCAAGGGGGAAATTAGTTTGTAGCAGCAGCAATTTACAGAGTAAATACAATCTGCAAGATGCTTTCTTAACAACACAGTTCAATTTAGAAGCTGTGAGAACAATACGAAAAGGTCATTACACATTTGGTCAGTTAATACTTTCTGCCAACACGTTTATATTTTGACACCTTAACATTTCTGGTATTTTTTAGGGAAAACACAAATAGAAGTAATGTTGTACTTGAACCACTAGATCGAGCTGTTGTACAGCTGGATTTATCCAAGCGAGCGTTTCAACTCATCTCTGACTGAATACAGAGAGGAACGTAGTTTAACTCCTTCCAGCCAGTATTGTAGTGAACTTTAAACTGTTCATTGTGTACATTAATGTCCCAAATGTCCAAAAACACTCTCCCTTGTGGAATTAGTTTTGTATGTGAAGAGCTGATGGTGTGTTACGGAACACCACAGATGTGTAATTAAAGATTCGGGGAGGTTGGACACAATCAGCTGCCAGCCTGTCTGAGCCTGTGAATCCATCATCCATCAAGCTGTTGTAACTCGACTGTAGGCTACTTTTTCAAAACAGTCCCAAACTTGACATCATGACTATCATGACTTTAGGAGTTCTGCATGCCAATATCAACTCATAGTCATAGAGCCACCTACTGACAACCATCGCCGTGAGCAGGATTCTATAACTAAAGCGGCCCAAACACTGAACTTATTGAAAGGGTTTGTGGGCACAACCCCAGAAAAAGACTTCTCTGATCTAAATATGTGCAAACTAAGATGTTTGGAGAGCAGAAATTGGATAAAAAAGGTTTCCAAATCACGCTTGTACGTGTTTTCATTAATAGTAAATGTGATTGTTTTTGTTCGTTTTGGAGCCAGCTGCGTAATGTAAAGTAATTTCATGCAGCGTGAAGTTTGTTTAATAATAAAATCAAACTGCACCCAGCCTAATTTATATGATAGATTATTCTACATTGGCTCACCTTTTGGCTTAAATTTATTTCTTTACAAAAAGATTTTCTTTTCCCACATGGAACTTCACACTCTACTTCTTCTCTGAATTCTTCCAGCTTTGAGTCTCTCAGCAGTGATTGTCAGAGCTTCCTGCACAACGGTTTTGAGACGGTTTTGAGACCTGCACTTTGACAGTCTGATATGTTACAAACACTGAAGCACGTTCACACACATTCAGTTTTTTTGTGGATTTTTACAGGGTGACAGTTATGATAGTATTCGGAGGTACACTCAAAACATTCAAGGCTTAAGACCTGGCAAAATGACCTGGCTATGCCATTGGTCGACACAGGAAATACCGTTTAACTCGTGCACGCATGTATATGATGGTCACAGAAATGCATGACCGCATCCACCAGAGTCCTGCCAGTACCCTCAGCGTGCGTGAATATGCAAGGGCCCGATCAATGCTGCTTGCAGCTTTAATTTGTATTACTATTCTTAGAGAGACAGATGGAGCAAACAAAGGCAGGATTGTAGTGGGAGCACTGGGGTTGTAACTGTGTGGCAAACGGTTTAAATGACTCATGGGTCAGGACCGGCTCGGTACCATCCACATGACATGAAATGTACTGATCTATTAGCTAATGTTAGAGTAGATTTGATGTTACTGAGTGAGTCTCTCCTTAAGTTTACAATGTGTTTAGTAGGAGAGCATGAGCATGGGTTGATATGAGTAAAGCAGGTTTGGGTTTTGCATATACTAACATATAAACAAACATGCTTCATTTTTCTTAAATTATGAAAATTGAATTTTGACATAAGACCTTGAGAATATTCTTTATTTGTGAATAGCAACACATTTCCTTCAGAGACTGTCCAATCACTAACGGTCTTCCATTTATGTCATATATTCATTAAACAAAAACAAACTTTGAGATTGCAGTAGCAGTAATATTTAGCTCTCAGTCTTTGTCAAACCTGCTACTATAGTTGTGTCATTGTCCATGTCACCACCAGCTATTGAACAGTCATATTAATCTGTCATTTTGTCATTAGATACTTTCTGAATGATGTTCTGTCCTGCAAAGTCACAACACCCCCTCTGCCATACCAACGGCTCTAGAAATAACAGGAAAGGTCCTTATCAATCATGCCTCCAGTTTTTGATTCCCAAAATAGAGAGTGACACATGTTCACTTCATTTGTGAGTTTACAACAGTTCACTCAGCCGTATGGTTTTAAGAAAACATTTATTCACATTGATATAAGTACATTTTTGAGTGGATTTTTTTTTTTACATACTGTATTTGTGCACGTACGTTAATCTCTACGTGTGCATTTGTCCTTGTGTGCCTTCTCAGAAGCATGCTTAGTGTTAAAATTCATACGTTTGTGAATGCGGTTTATGTACTAAAAGAAACATCAGTTCTGCATTTTCACTTGATTATTTTTTGTACAATTTGCCTTTCATTTAAGAGAGACAGAACCCCAAAAAAAACAGGAAACAAAAATCCCAAATGCGGGATCAGGTCTTAGCAGCGGACAGATACAGTTGACAGGTAATTTCGAGCTTATGAACACATAGCATTCTCACACTAACAGTTACTATCTCACATACTAATGTAGACTACACCACTATCTCACATTCCTGAGGAGTTTCCTCCTCCTCCTGTTCCTTTTTTATCCCTCCATATTTATCCCCTCTTCTTGTTAACTTCTGTGCCTTTGTCCATGTCTTCCTCTGCATGTCCTCCTCCTCCTCTATCTTTCTCCTCTTTATACCTGGACGTTGAGGATCTGTGAAGACAGTCCTTGGTGCCAGTTCTTCAGCTTGGCAAAGCGGGGCCCTTTCATCTCCGACTCAAACTTATCTCTATTGGTGTGGAAGACAGGTAATATTTACACTTTTAAGCATTTTAAATGAGTATTTAGTTAGATGAGAAGATTGGCACCACGCTTGTGTTTGTACAGTAAGCTACTGCGAGCACTGGTGAGCTTAGCTTAGTTTAAAGACTAATAACACACTGAAACAGCTGGCATAGCTCTGTCCAAAAGGTAACAAAATCTGTGTGTAGATATAAATGGCTCATTCTATGGTCACCAAAACACAACGATTCTGTCGATTATATTATCAGGTGATTATACACTGAAGAAAAATTAGTTATTAATATTATATTATATTTTTCGCCAACTGACAAACCTTAATTCTACACCTTCTACACAAGTTGCCTAGGCTGCCTAGCGTGTTGTTCTTACCTCGACTTCTGCAGGGCTTCCTCATCTGGGTCTTGCACTGCATGAGTGGGAATAAACAACAGAAATTTGGTAAGGACAAAGAAAAATCTGAGACGATAATCTCTAATCAGATGTTAACTGTGTCTGAACAAGAAGTGAGGATTAGCAGAGATGCGTATCGAGAAGATGAAGAGAGAAGGTGTGAAAGAACAAAAGGAGGAGAGGAGGGGTCCGTGTACTGACGGTATTCAGTGCCGGTGATGTGGGCCAGCATCCTGAAGCTCTTGGACTGCAGGGTGGCAGCACGACGAGCCCATTCAGCCATTGTCTGGTTCTCTCCTGGCCTGATCACTGCCTGGTAAACCGGAGACGCACAGTCCACCACAGAGTCCTTGATCGGCAGAGCTCCGCTGCAGGGCAGAGAGTGGCCGACTGTTAGAGCTCTGAGTGGTGTGTACTGTATTTAAAGCCCCCAAATGTAACAGATGATCGTAATGTAATAAATGCCCAAGATGTATTATCATCTACAACTGAAGAGCTGTATTAATTATTGTATTTTTGATGTTAAATTTGATTAAACATTTAGAGCCAAGTAACAGCTTTAAAGTTGATACTGTACTGTTTCAGTCAAACTTACAATTTCTTCTAGCTCTAATGTGGAGTGGATTCAAAAAAATGTAGCTATCTCCCATAGTTCACAGGTAAATTATGAGTTATAATTATAATATTTATTATAATGATTATTTATTCACTTACATTTCAGCAGGACTCCACATAAACTAGCTGTCAAAAGTGTTCCCCGGTTTCTAAATTGCAATGCAGAATTGATTTTTAAAATGAATAAAGTTTGAAGTGCAAGTGACTTTATATAAAACTACAGCACATTCAAGAGTAAAATAAAGTATAGTCGAAATCAATTATTAAAAAAAATGTTTAAATTCTCCAGGCTTCAATGTCATGAGCGCTGTAGAGTTAACGTCACATGACAACACTGCACTACACAGCATTAAAAGTAAAACAAAAAAGCTATTTTGTTCGTTATGATGTTCGAAGCTTCATTGAATCAGAATTGTATTTATGGGCTGTTATTTCATTAAGATCAATAGTTGCATTGTTGTTGCTTTGCACACAGTCACAGTTTGTTCATTGTTCACAAACATACGACTACTGTTCTGTATTTGTGTTGACCTATAGCTTCATGTTGACTGGACAGTGTTTTTTGATTTCAGCATTCTTTAATGAGTGTTAGACAAGTGAGTCAACACTGATTGAGCAGTAGTCGTTTAAAAACCTGTGTTTGGATACTCAGAACATTCCCATGCCATTAAATCCAGTCAGGTTCCCGAGGCTGTGATGAAATTGTTTTTTTTTTTTATAGAGGACGACTTCAAAAAAAAAACAACTCACACTCTCACACCAAAGTACCTCTAAGTACTTTCAGATACAGTACGCATAAAAATGATCGCTTTGTTAGTTAGTTTGACCTTTATACAGTATGGTTGACACATTTAAAAAAAAAAAAACACACATAAAAACACATTAAGATGGACAAAATAGATGCTGTACATTTTTCAGGAATATTATTTATTATAGTATTAATTATAACCATATTAATATTATAATAGTTGAGGGATATTAGTTTATGACACACATGGAGCAATGCACAAGCTGTTGTAAAATCATGAGACAAAGGAGACGCGTTTGAGGAGAGGTAGGATAGAAAAGGTGCGCTGCTGTACTTACCCCAATGGGGAGCCCGCCTCCTCACTGAGGTCACAACCAGGAGGGAAGGATGGGGAGGGATAGGTGGAGGACAGCACAGGTGTGGTTGTTTTTTTTTTTTTTTTTTGGGGGGGGGGGGGGGGGGGGGGGGGTTGTGGATGGAATGAGCAGAGGAAAGTGGGTGAAAAGCACGGAGGAGTATGGGGCACGGACACAGACACCATTGAAAAGCCCGGGCATTCAGTAAAGTAGACATCCAAGTTGTAGCAGCGTGGGCTGAAAGTAGGCTTATATGTTCAAAAGCTGCTTTGCCTTTTGGCTTTTCAGAAAAAGTGTCTTAAAGAGTTGAGAGAGGGACCATTATTTCTGTCATTTTTGACAAAAATACAGATGAGCCTACGCAGATGTTGCTTTGGGGAAGACGGTCTGAATTTGGCAGAAAACTTAGAGGCGTCAAAACGGTGACAAGAACAACCTAGAACTTTCTGCATGGCTGCATTCCACTAGTAGTAGCCTAAGTAAGAATGTGTGTTTTTTTGTCATTTGGGTGAACTGATCCTGTAATTTATCCATCCGCGGGTTGGTTTGATCATTGTGATGTGATGTACAGTGGGTGAGTGGAGAGAGCGCATAAAAGACTGGAGAGGGGATTAGTTCGGTTGTGTGACCTCACCTGTCGTGTCCTTTGGCCTGCGACTGCCCTGCAATGGCGTCCATGATGGCGTCCTGTGAGTACATGCTGATCGGTGTGTTGTACTGAGCGTGAACAATGGTGGCCTTTCCCCCCGGACCCCTCACCTCAATGGGTTTGTGAGTGGACAGGGCCGAGTCTTTCAGAGCAATGGGGTTGAAGCTGGGAGTGTACTCCGTGCTGTTGGTGTCAGGGTGGGGTTAGATGGGGTCAGGGAAGAGTTTGAGGTGCAGAGGAGAAGACGAGAGGTTAACAGACCGGGGGGGGGGGGGGGGAAGAGGGAAGTCAGGGGGAAAGAAATGACAGAGAAAGCGCCAAAGTGAGGGGAGGGAACTGGGTCAATGTGTAGTAATGCAAGATCATACAATTACATACAAATTCTCACACAGTGGCTTTGAGTGTCATTCCAAAGTTGCAGTTTGATTGAGATCCCTTTAGATGCACATCTTGTATTATCAGAACAAAATAGTTAATTACCAATAATAGTATACTATACATATTACTACATCATGGCATAAATTACTATGCCGTGTTGAATTGGGACAGAGGCTCCATCCATCACGACTTGCAGCTTAACGACTACTTTATGTACTAATGACTACTAGAAGTAAACAAAGCTGACACACCAGTCCAAAGAAAACCCAACATGCTCATGTATCACAAGCAAATTGATTAATATCTGCATATTCATAATGACACACAGCGAAGTATACACACACCGCGGATGATATTTTACCAATACACACTACAGCCACACATGGATGTATCACGGACACACAAAACGCCAACGCACATGCATTTACCAGAACAAATATGCCGTAAATATATTTATGTAGACACATTAATATGAAGGCTTAAGGACCAGCAGAGGTGGAAAACAGTATATATCATAGTGGAGTATGGGTTCAACATTAGAATGATTACTTCAGAAAGAAAACTACAAAAAACTCTAGCATCAAAAAGAAAAGTTTTAATTTATTTTGTGTTTTAAACTGTGTTTATGTGAAATAACTCTGTATCTGGTCAGGTCAAAATTCATTTATGTTTTTGCAGAATTCTTTGTCTATGAACTAACTAGTTTAACATTTGTTAAATAAATGCAGTGAATTGTTAAGTATGAAGGAAGACGTAGACGGAAAAGTAGAAAGTCTCACAATAAACTCAAGTAAAGTAGTAGTACCATAAAACAGTACTGGAGTACAGTACTTGAGTAGATGCACTTATTTACTTTCTTTCTAGGGACCAGATGCTGTTAATTACATGTTACATTAAGAATCAACTGATCAGCGCAAAATGCCTATGATGAAGTCTAGAGCATTAGTTCAACTTCACACACACTGAAGCAATTTGAACAGAACTTCACACCAAATCTACAACTCTCACTACCTCTCTACTGACGTATACTTCATGCACATTAAATACTGTGATGGTACTGACTTTGCAGCTGTGTTTAAGATAACCTGAAACACACCAGAGAGGCACGGACAGACAGACAGAGAGAGAAGGAAAGAACGTGATGAATCACCACAGGGTATTTTGGTGATGAACAATGGTGTGTGTTTGTAGGAAACTATCCAACTACAGCACTATGCTGTAATCCCATGTGCAGGTCAGAATGGCAGCCGCTGTATTATCACCGGGATATTTTCCAGCTTCGTCTGCATCATCAGGAGTGACTGACAAGAGCAGAAGCGTCTCAATCACATGACACAAAGACACATTTAGCACAGAACAGCCACACATATACACAACTACACAAACACGACACATACCACCTCTATGTCAGGACTGCAGCCGTTACATATAGACAAATCCCAGTAGACAAGCCACCATTACTGCGGTGGCACCTCTGTTCTAATTCTTCTTAAACTAGCAGGAGTCGAATGCCGACTGTGATTAACCCCAAACATCTCTGCTTTTAAGTGTAAATGTTTCCACTCTCTCGCTGGAGAGTGCGATACACATAATTCAGCCGCCGGATTCATCCATACAGTACATGGATGTGTTCAGGGTACAGTAGGTAAAGTGGGAAGTGCTCGGCAGCACCTGTCACGTGGGGCGAGCTATCTCAGGTTTGGCCCGGGGGGCATCCAGGAGATTCAGGATGATGGTGTGTAACCGGAGCGGAACATTCCCTGACTAACAGCTGCTCTCTCGTGTGTGTGTATGTGTGTGTGTGTGTGTGTGTGTGTGTGTGTGCATGTGGGATCAGGAGACTCTATGTGCTCGATGAGGTGGGGTCGCTGGCATGATACTGCCGTCATCGTCCCTGCAGTCTGCCTGGAGCACCTTGCCTGACATTTGACTTACCGTTGGCCTTTACTGTAAAGCAGCTCAGCTCCAGAAGGGAAACACATTAGTGGAGACTGATATCTGGATGTGATATGTCAGAGGCCAAGCAGATTGTGTCCTCAATTAACATTTACAAGTATTTCATGACTGCAGAGGCCTCACCCAAACTCATGCCATCCCACTGAGGAGAGTTCCATCAATGGTGGCCCCAATTTAACTCCGACCACAGACAAGTATTGTCTGTGTAACAAAAGCCTGATATATCTTATTCCTTCACTATCGTACCGGTTGACATGTTCCTTCATTACGATGAATAGGGGCACTGTAGTTTATTTTAAATCAACCTCTGTAAATACTCAGTAGAGCACCAAATGTGAATTAATTTGCAACTGAAAATAATCCCCACTAATACACTATTTACTCCTGTTTGAGTAAAGTGCCCAGATTCTCTTTTTAGGAAATTACTGAGCCTTTTTTTTTTTACTAAATTAAAGATGAATTTGACTGAAAACATTATTATTAATAAATAAAAGAAATCACGATAAAGACAGTATTGTGATATCTATAGGAAATCCTAAATAATAATAATAATAATAATAATAATAATAATAAGGTGTTCTCTCTTGAAAGCTGTCTCCAAATTTGTTATTATTTTAGTCCAAAATATGTTATTGCCCACAGTAGCCAAATATACCAAAATCTGTACATCTCTACAGATACATTTTTCTGCAACAATTCTAATAGTAAATTAATTAATTGCTAATTGTTTAAATAATCTTTTCAGCAAAAATAGCAGAAATTCTCTGTCTCCAGCTTTTTAATTGCAAAATATGTTTCTATAATAGTGAATTTGATCTCCATAGGTTTAGTAGAGTTGGTTTAATAAAACCAAATATGTGAAGATGTCACAGTGGGCCCTGGAACCTAACAAATAATTATTAGTTGCAGCCCTACAATGTTTAAATAAATAAGAAAATGAAAGACAAAGGCCTCGAGCAACAAATTGTCACTTTCCTGTAATCTTGCCAGCAAACAAAAACAAAAAAAGTATCACAAGCAAGTCTCCGGTTTTCCAGGCATAACAGGGTTTAAAACTCAGCATCCGAGGACAAACGGAGACAGGTTTACTTGAAGATAAAAAGCCTCAGAAAGGGAAATCAGGGAGCTGAAACAGCAAAAAGACTTCTTTAAAAAGATTTTTGCAACATCATCTCCCTGGTTTCATTCCTGTAGTCGGATCTGCTGCTACTCTGTTACCTGGAGGCCGGCCAGGTATGTTTGTGTGTACACTCCCGAAATAGTGCAATGTGTGAAAGGAATGACTGCTGGAATAGCGTTGGAAAGTTCTGAGTATCTTTTCTCATTAAGGTCGTGTTAATGTGAAGTTCAACGGGGATGTGATGTGCATTTTCTTCATTCGTCCGGAGTGAAAAGCAGCACTTTTGTTAAGTTTTGTTACATCAGCTGAGGAGTTTAGTCTTCTTCTCTTAGTATTGAGATTATTCATCTCTGTGGTAACCTACCCCAGTGATGAAACTCCCCGGGAAGCTGCCGACCCCTGTCCTAACTTGCCCTGCATCTGCATCATTTCTCTGAGAGTGTCGGGGGAGTAAAGGCCCACTGGGGAATTGTACTGCATCCACTGGCCTGGTGAAGATACTGCAGATGGTGTGGAGGAGGCAGGAGCTTTGATCGGGGTCGAGAGGAGCTCCGGATCTTTTTTAGGAACTTGGAAGAGATTCCTTTCAGAGGGCTTTTTTTCCTGGAAAATGTCATAGGACACTGCCTGCACCATTTCAACTTCCTCTCCAAAATGTTTAGGCCCGACCTCCTCTTTCACTTTTTCTAACTCCTTAAAAAGATGAGAAGAGGTCAAGATAGATAGCTAGACAAGAAGGCCTTAAAGTGAAACGAGAGTAAAGGTATCAGCTTGTTCCGACTTCCTTTTCCTTTCATTTGGATGCTGTCATTTTGGATTGCTGACCTCCCTGCAGTTGCACTGTGAATATTTGACTCTAGAGGGCAGCAGGACGCTGCCTCGTGTCACCATTGAAGAAGAGTGAAGATGATATTCTCACAAACAGGACAAGAATGCAAAACACGTATGACAGACATACAAAAAAAAACATAAGCGAGTATGCAGACATACAGCTGGTATTTGTTTGTGTTGATTTGTCTATGTGGTCATTGTTGTTGTGGGTGTGTTTGTACCTTCTGGTGGGCGATGACTGGCATGGGTGATTCCATTCTTGGAGTGGAAAATGCTGCAGCACGTCTTGATCTAAAGATTAAACGACAAAATGCCTCTTTAAAATATAACGTTACATCATATTTTACCACTTTGGAAAAGAAAGAAATACAGAGCAGCCAGTAACAACTCATGAGAACCAGGTTATACCTTTGTTGGTAAAATGTATTGTTTTTAAGACATTTATAACATTGACTTTCACTCACTGATTAGTCTTTTTTCTTTTCTTTCAGCCAGGTAACATCCACTACCTTATAATTTGCTTCTTCATCATGTACTTAAGTTTGACAGAGATGGCTGTTTTGGTGTAAGTGTGCTGGTTGTTTACTTTTGCATGGTGAGTGACAGCTTGGTCGCGCCAGACTTGATCTTGTTTTGGGCCTCCATGTGAGTCATCCCGTCGGTGCTCACCCCATCGATGGCTGAGATGATGTCGCCCTGGGACAGGCTGCCGCCCACTGCCTTGCTGCCCGGAGTTATCTATGGAGGGGCCAAAAGAGCAGGACACACTCAGACCGCTGACAGGGATTCCTCAGGAAACAAACAAGCAACTGGAAGAGGTATGCAGTCACACAAACACATGCACATGTTACAAACTGGAGGGACATGTATGAATGTTGGATTCATTTGTTGGGTGAATGTAAAATAAGAAAGGTAAATTAAAATCATTTGTTTCATTTTCTCTTTAACAACAGATTTCTAGTAACAAAGCCATGAATTGTGCAGTACGGGGATATAAGGTAAAGGAACTATTTATACAGTCTGAGTATCTGAGTAGCAAATCTTTATTTTTCATTTTTTCAATTGACTGTCAGGTGAATCGTCGTGCTCCTGGCTCTGCTACAAAGCCAGACTTTAGAGCTTAAACTACACAGAGAGGAGGTTTAAGTGAGCCCAGAGCCCTGCAGCATACAGTATTGGGTATAGGCTTACAGTCAACTCGTTAAAGAGTTAAAAATAAGCAACGCTGTTGATGCCTCCGGCTTCACTGTGATTAACCTGACTGAGCCCCCCCTCGTCCCCCAAACACAGACACACACACACAAACACACACACCTGCTACTGACATTCATACAAGACTTCCTTGAATCTATCTTTTTTCTATTTACACTAAGTCCTCCTCTCCATAATCCACATTTAGCCTATTTTCACCACTTCACATCACATAATGTCCTCGACGACTGTCATGCTCGCCCTTGTTTCTCCTGTCAACCTTTCTCCTTTTGTATCTGGTTTTTGCACATCTTTTTCTTCCTTTGAATTACAGTCATTATGCCTGTGTGCATAGTAAAGTGTGTGTGTGTGTGTGCGCGCGTGTGTGTGTGTGTGTGTGTTTGTTTGGAAAGCAGATACAATAGCTGGTTGTAGGCGGAGAAGCAAGGTAAAAAATTATCTCTGCCTGGCGGCCTCAGTGTGATCAAACACACACATAGACACATAACGCTGCCTGACCTGTCTGCCATGAATGCTTTCCTGTGTGTCAGAACCTTCGAATACAACAGAGAACAACAGGAAGTGGATTTGAGGTCTGATTCCTCGAAAATTGGATTGTAATAACAGAGCGATACTGTCTTGGATTTTGATCCTTGGAATGTTTTATACAAAAAAAATGTGTTGTATCACTCAATAAAACCATAAACCACATCATACATACGCTTCATCCATCCATCGATGGTGTCCAGAGAGATGTTTTCATTCTCAATGCAGCATGTAAATAGACTTAAGTGTAAAGTCATGGATGACAAGTTTTTTTAATCATCAGCACCACTAAAAGTCATGTGAAATAATTGGACAGTATAAAAACAGTTTGCTTATTTAATGGACAGTGCTTCAGCTTGGCTAACAAGACTTCAGGAACCCACTGTCTTCATTCCTCTTTCCCTTCTTAGTTCTTGGCAAACGTATACCGAAATCCAAACCGCGGCGGTATTACGTCAAACTGTAATGGCACCCCAAGTTGTCATGTCAAGCTGCAGTGTTTTATGTTCACCTGTCAGAGCCAAACACGACCACAGGATGAACTATAATCCAATGAAACAATGTCATGATGGATGCATCAAATCTCCCCCGGGTTGCCTAAGACTAAGGGATCAGAAGATGTCCGGAGCTGTCAATCAATAAAACACAGGCTGATCACCAGCTGAGCATCAATCAGGGCCGAAGAAGGAGAGTTTAAGTCCACACTGTCTTACTCGGGTAAGCGTCACCTCCTCCACCTTCCCTCGTCTCTCAAATCCTCCATCCATCTATTCTGTCACATTGTCCTCTCAGGAGCAGCTCCAAAAAGGCAAAACCAAACTATAAGCGAGAATTAAAGCTTACTAAAGGTAACACAAGCTTCTGTCCTGTTCCATTCCCATCCACCTCTCCTCCAGTGCTATTTAAAGGAAACGCTGTAAATACACCAGCAGTCCTGCCAGAGAGAGAGAGAGACACGCTGTCTCTCTGCTGCGGAGGTTAAAACTATTTAATTTGTAGAGTGACACTTAATGTCCCTCACTCTTTCTTCAATTCTAATAAGTATAGGCTAACAATCATTATCTTTAAAGATAATTGAGAAAGTTCTTATCTACATAAGAAAATGAAGTATTTATCTTCTTGTTGTAACAGAATTTCTTAAATAAATCATGATGTGTGTTTGTTGTAGAAACAAGTCTAACTTTGCTTTGTTGTAGTCAATTATTATCTTTGTTGGAAAATGTAATTTTGGAATGAAATTTGTGTGGGATTTGAGAGTTTAAGTCAATTCATCTAAACTCACTCATTCTCATGTGATGATTTGACTGGGCTGATGTAAAGCGTTACACGTAAGTCGCAGTTACTCAAGCTGATTATGAGCTGAAACTTGAGGGTGGACTACATAACGAAAGTAAAACCTATAGATGTTTTTTTGTTTTCCAGAGCAACGCTTAAGAAAACTCTCAGCAGTAAAAGTTAGCTAATGCTGCAGCACCTCTACTCCAGTAAAACTATTCCAGTCTTTCCACTGCTGCTCTATTCTTGAAATCTCTTTGGACATCACGTCTGACCCTCCCTGTCATCATCAAGTACAGCAACATTACATAACCGCCGCTCAGCCGCAGCTTGCACACAAATCACACCTTTCAACATGTCGGACGTTATTGTCAAACCAGGTGAAACGGATAAAATGTAAAAAAAGACGTAACCTAAAAATCCCTTTTCAACATAATTTGGCTTTTGCAGAGGCACCTACGCATATTTTCACCTGCGAATCACCAAAATGATGCTTACGCAGATATTCAAGCAGGAAAGTGTGATAAAAGTGAAGCTTTTTGAAGTTAAAGGGTTCTGTGTTTACATCATTGTTTGTGTTGGTTTTCATTTCGTTCGAGTGGATCAATTTGGCAAAGTCAGTCAATCAGCATTCATTGTTGAAGAGCTTAAGTTTCTCTTTGAAATAATTTATGAAATATTTTGTCATCATAATGTATGCCAGCGCATTGTTTTCATCAGTTTGCTGGCGTTTGTGAGATACCTTGTCAGCGTCACATTATTTTGTGACCTCGACGAGGTAAGTTGTGACTTTATAATGTAAGTTGTTTCTGTCTGTAAGGGCGACTCTGTCCTTACCCTGGAGATGGTGAGTGGCATGTTGAAGTCCTTTCCTCCCTGTAGTCTGAAGCCCCATGGAGCGGGGCCATTCAGAGTCACTGTGTATGTAGTCATCTTTGGTTAAACGTTAAACACTCCTCCTGCTAATAACTCCTGCTGGCTGTGTGGTTTCTGCTCCTGCTGTGCTGTGCTCGTGTTCTCCGTCTTTCCCTGCTATCCTTTTGTCCCGGTCGGCCTCAGTCGTCACTTCTCCTCAGTCAGTCCTGGATTCACTATACCGTCTCTCCTCGTCTGCTCCCAGCTCTCAGGACAAACAGCCTGGGGTGGTGCTGCTACTGGTGGGTGGGTCAGGTGCTGTGGAACCTCTGTGACACAAACACACAGACATGCATTCATGCACAGAAATACACATATGTGTAGATAAACACGCACATAAAGAGTGCAGAGCCAAGCTGGGCCACTGGAGAACAACAGTTAACTGAATTGAGCCATGGAAAAAAAACCTCCTCAATCTCTTACCCTGTAAACTAAAACCTCCTGAAACAAACCTCAAATATTAGAATATGCAAGCTCTAATAAGTACACTTTAAACTCATTAAGAGAGAAGAGTTTCTTGCCTGCAGAGCTGCTGAGGGCGAGGGACCGACAGCCTAAGAATAGCAGAGATGAGCATAGACACAGGAGCCCTGGCCCTTATAAGGCCTGTAACACGAAGCCCCAGAATGCTTCACTGCCGATTCACATCGCCAATATAGACCCCTCTTACTGCAACACATTCTCTCTCTCTCCTTCTCCCTCTCTTAGTGCTATCACTTCATGCTGCCAGCACCCTATTATCCGTAATCAGTCTCTGTGCACTGTAGCCATTCTCTTTTCTAGTTTCACTGTCTCCCAATCTGCTCGCGTAATGGAAAGAACAAACCGCCCAGCAGCGTTTCCCTAGAAACACGTCCACCAAGCTGATTTGAGTCGGATGTTTGTGTGAGTGAGATACGGAGCAATTGAATTAGCAGCCAACCACAGCTGAACACAAGCAGAGTCCGGCATTTGGAGCGACCATCCACAGAATTATCTTGATTAAACTCAAATGTCTATGATGACACAATCCAAACTATTAAACTTCGTCCTGAGAGGAGCCCTCAGGAGCTCATAAGTCACTTAATGGTTGAACTCTCAATAAACAATGAAGACAGGACAAACCGTTAAGGCTGTCCATATAATGTTTTATGTTTTTACTTTTCTGGTTACGGGCATTCACATTCCTAAGGACACAGATCCAATAAACAGCTTAAAGAAACTTTTACTTGCTATGCAAGTCCTAGTCTTGGTAATTCTTGTATTTTGCATATACATCTATCTCAGCGTAACAAATTCACTTAATTTGTAAACCATTTACAAATTGACACTGTTAACTGTTTTGTTGACATTGGTTCTAATTTTGTTCTGACATACAAAACTCATCTCGCATTACTGACTCACATTAGTGTGTCTTTATTAATTAGTTGTGCAAGCTTGAAGTTGACCAAATCTCGAACAGTGGAAACATCTAAGTTTATAATACTTGTATATAATTAAGTTCCTGATAGCAACGCTGTTTACAATTCTTTTAGTTTCCTGCAATATAAACTGGAGGTTAATTACTCTGCCTGCAACTTTTATCTCAACCACAGCAAAGGAGACCAGAGTTTCTGTGCTAAGCTACGCTAATTTAACGTAACCAAAAAGAAGCAAAGAAGTTCCCAGAAAAGTATGGTTTAGTTTTTGATTGGCTACATCTCGTAGAGCCATCAGGACATTCACATTGATTAACTTGAGCCCTCCTGTTAACCCTTTCATTAAATGTCCTGAAGCTGGGCTTGGTGGCCAGCTCTGACAGCCTGGTTCTATTCACAACATGTGAGGATTCAAGGCTTTTTATTTATAACATGCACACCAGGAATGTTCGGTGAAGTGTAAAGTGACAAGAGTCACAGCGCAGGTCAACATGTGCAATAGAATGATAACAAATTCATACAATATAGTGCGTTTTCCTCAAAGAGAAGGCATAACTATTGTATATATACTGCATTCCAGCCCTTATTAACTATGTAAAATCATACTCACTTGTTCTGAACCTGGGGCTGCACGGTGGTGTTGTGGCTTGCAATGTCGCCTCACAGCGAGAGGGGCCCGGGTTTGATCTGTGTGGAGTTCTGTCTCCGGGATCCGGCTTCCTCCCACAGTCCAAAGACATGCAGCTTAGGTTAATTTACGACACTAAATTGCAATGTATGTATCAGATGAAGTAGACGTCCAAGTTCAGAAGGCAAAGCAATTATTTAAACATAAATTTTCACAAAACTTGTAATACAAAAAAGAATTGTCTTAGTGGAAGTTATCAACTGGGGAATTATTTCTTTATTACAGTGTTGCTGTTTTTACTGAAGTAATGGATCTGAAAGCATCCTCCACCATTCATTTTCCCGATTACAAATTTGGAATTATTGTACACCCCGTCCACTTACACCCTCTACTCATGCAAATGGAATACCAACTCTCACCTCTGCAGGGCGCCAGTGTTCTCCAAGGCCTATTCAGGTCAAACAGCATGCAGGATAACTGTTGGACAGATATGACCGACACTGATGCCACTCTCTTATCTAACATCAGGATTTTCCAGCTGATATCTGCTGTGCTGCATGGATATCTCCCATTTAGGAAACTGACCTAATGATTTTTGAAAAATCAGTCAGTCGACACTGATGGACGGATGAGGAATTGGGAGCTGCACCGACCACAATCATTATGGTGCTATGGTGAGGGAAAGAGCGTTGAAGAACACTGTACTGCATAAGTGTGTAAATTTATTAAAAATGGAAACTATCATAAGTTGCATCCCTACATTAATACACGGCTAGTTCAAGACATGGAAACATGGCCAGCAGTAGTGCAGAGTTTTGCAACATTTTTATTTATAAAAATAAATAATAACAACACAAAACATTTTTTACAAAATCAACAAAATCAACATGTCACTTAATTAAACCATAATTTCATTAATTATTCTATATTTGTTTGTTCATAAATCATGGTTGCGTCCAAAATTCCATACTAATATTTTGTACACTTAGAAAGTATGTTAGATTTTTTTATACGTCCGAAACCTCAGTATGAAACCAATAGTACATGAATTATATACTATTTCCGGTGAAATATTACTGTATGCAAACACTGGACACCACGCCAGCATAAATATCCCACAATGCAATTCGCTAGGAGTAATAGTTTTTTTTGAAGTGGTTCAAATCAGCGTTTTGGTCACATGATGTGTTGGTTCACGTCTCCAACCGGCAAGGAGGCTCTCAGAAAGTGACGTGTTAATTACAGTTCGTCTAAAAAAGAAACATACACTGTTTATTAATACAAAAGTATGTACAATATATATCATATATTGATTATGTGGTGCATAGTATGCAATTTTAGATGCAACTCATGTCATTTTGTACATTCATTGATGGGCACTGCAGGACAATGCGGGAATGTCAACCTTTGTTGCCTTGGTCAGTAAGATTTTACTCTTTAATTTGAATGTTGATCATTTAAAAGAACAGTTATTACAATCATAGTCAATGATGCTTACAAATGTCAAAGGGAACTGTAATATACAGAAGTGGATATTACAAGGATTATAAAACATAGCTGGTGTTCTGTACATCTGACTATGATAGGATCTATAATGTCAATCCAGAAAAAAAACACACTCAAATAACAGTTAAGTAATTTAGTAAACTGTCATCTGTATATCTAAAAGTAGATATTACAGCAAGGTATGGCATCAATTCTTCAGTGTGGACTCACTCTCACATACTTACACAGCATTGGGTGATGATACTATGGTGTTCTGACACATTTGTCATCTGATCTGTGGTACTGCAATGGAAAAATCAATGACAAAGAGCCAGAGGGGGGAACAATCTGGTGGTATCCTCTGCTGTCCTGTTGCATGTGTGCAAACGTGTGTCTGACACCCAGTGGACTGGAATGAGCAGTCAATTTCTCCTGGATAACACATCAGTACATAATAGTATTAGCAGTGTTTCCCAGAGGTTAATTTGAATTTACATTAATTTGCTGTGGTTTCATTTGCTAGTGTCAGAGTCTGCAGCACTGCATCAGGGAGGTCATTTTTTTTTTAAATAAATGCACCACCCCAGACGACTTTCAATCTGAAATAAATCGCAAATAATAAATAAAAAAATACACAAAAAATATAGTTTCAAGTGGTGGAAAATCTGCATACATTTGAAAACATTTGATTTATGGGAAAAACGGATGCTTGTAAACTGCTTACTTACACATCTAGTTTAAACAAGGCAACATAAGCATCCAAATGAAGTTGACTTTCTAGTCACCTGTTAAATGTACATCCAGTATCCACTGTCATTTTAGCTCTGGCTTCGTCCACCTGCTCCTGAGAACACACGCTAAATGTGTGACTTTCTTTACCAGTTACTTGTTGACTTTGACCCTCTTCACGTTGTATAAGTGCAGTTAGACTGTGCTCACTCCTATGCCGGGAGCTGCTCACACTTTTATAATAAGCAGCACGGTTTAAGTTCTTTCAGAACCAAAACAACGAGTTTAAAGTGGCCTAAATCAGCACATAGTTTAAAAAGTAGGGTGTTGATTCTCAGTGGGATCAGTAGTGCAACCACTTCCAGGAGTCATTTGATTCAATGTTAACATAGAAAATACTGTTCAATGCATCTTTAAAATCAGTATTTTTGGGTATATGACAATAAAAAGAAAAACGTAAACAATATAAAGAGGGTTGGGTATCGAGAATAGGTTCAGACTTAGAAATAATTTCATACAAAGAGAAAGAGATTAGTTAAAAAGTATGCTTCTTGAAAGAATGGACAAAGTATGGGCCTACTGCGCTTCTGTTTTCTCTACGTATGCATTAACGCATGTAGTGTTCAAAATATGGCTCATCAACTCATCACGGCCCCAGTTGTAGACATATTGCACCAGAATGAGATAATAGTTAGTTAATGGTAATGTATTATTACACTGAATTCATGTATGGCAACAAGACTTTAAAAAAAAGACATATTTTGATTTCTTCTACTAAAATAATATGACATGTATCTGAACTACCAATTAATACAAATGTAATCGATACCCAACCCGAGAGATTAAAATTTTCACATTGTGTTTTTAAGGCTTATTTGTTGCCTCCGGCTCTGAGGTAAACCATCTCCAACCACCATGATATGTCAGAAAAAGTAAAACATACATGTATATATGCAAACACGAACACAAACACATGTATTTACAGTTACTGGGCATTCACGCTCACATACTCACATACTCTGTACGCAAAACATAATAATAAAATGCATCCTCTGGTTTTGAGTTACCATAAAAGTACAAAAAAGTCCCATGGAAGGAAATATTGAAACACACACACACACACACACACACACACACACACACACACACACACACACACACACACACACACACACACACACAGAGAGTTGTTGCACTTTTGTCCACCTGTTTAATGTAACGCTGTGGTCTCCAGCCTTGCTATGTCAAGGGGCTCCTTGGTTGGGGGAACGATGCAGTATAGACGGGCTGGATAAGGAGGTTACAATGACGGATGCCGTTGTCTTACATGCAGGCCTTGGCCTGGACTCTTCCATCACGTTGTCAAGCTGTGTAGGCGGAGGAAGAGAGAGAGCGAGAGAGAGAGAGAGAGATGTTCATCGATGTTGTTGTGACTGAGACTCCACATGTCAAATGTGAGTAGGTGGCTGGATGATGGTGGGAAAGAAAATTACAGTGGGATGGAGGTTAAGGGAGAGAATCGACTGCTGCTCTGATTTGGAACAGTACAACTATTCTCCACTTAACCTGCCAGAGTAAGACATGAAACAGTCACAGCTGGTCAAAGGCATTGATGGGTTGGATTGATGAATGGCTTTCTCGCAGTGCCCTTGGAGTGGGACTGTATCACTGAGATCTATAGCGGAGCAAGTACTCTAGCTGAGCATATTTAAGTATATACTGTATATATAATAAAACAGTTTGTTCAGCTGCACAGAGCTATTTTAAATGTGGTAGAATCACTGAGCAGTGTTGTGGAACGGGTGATAAGCTCCTTTAAAACACACATGACTAAATCCCCTGGGCAGGATGGACAGAAAAGGTTGAGGCTGAAGGAATTTATGTTACTGACAGACTGGAGTTCTACGTAAAAGACAAACCCAGACAATAGATGTTAGTATGCTCATAACATATCTACTGCACAGAGCAAGAGGTTGACAATCCTTGGACTCTTACAGTAGCAGGAAGATGACTGGTCGGCTTCAGGCTGATGTCCGACATGGAGATGTCTTCAGGCTCTCTCAGACTCTGAACAGTACGCACATAAACACAGACATTTAGTGTTAGTTGTGATCAAAAGATCATGTGTACTATTTTAACCTCCAAGTCACACTCTTACTAAAAACAGATTGACTCCAGATCAGGATTTGAATGGAGACTCTGTAATAAAAGAGCAGCTGTCTTTAAAAGTACGTCAGGTTGTTTCCTTTTTTGTGCCAGAAACAATCTAAAAGTAGTACAAATGAATTCTTAAAGGAATAGTGTGACATTTTGTTTGGCAACAAACAAGATATAACGTGTTAATTAGAGAACTTTAAAGGTGTTGGTAGACCGAACTGTTATCATTGAACAGAGCCAGGTTAGCTGTTTGCCCCTGTTTCCAGTCTTTATTCTACGCTAAGCTAAGCTAACAGGCTGCAAGCTATCAATCTTCTCACCTCACTCTCTTTTTTCACAACATTTTTCAAACTATACCTTTAAGTCTAAAAGTGTCAGGTATTAAAAGTACTTCAGAGGTACTCTAGAGAAAAATATAGCAAAGTATAGGTAATCCTTAGAAGATATGCAGCGATTATAGACAGAAGTAAAAGTGTTTCGAAGCAGATGGAGGTTGGAGACTTCCCAATAATCAGCCGTCTTCGTCTGCAACAAGTGCAGCACGTTGAAACACGAGGTCGCGTAATGCAAGCTGTGGATTAAGTCTAAAACTCCCAGATTATTGGATTAGTCTTTGGACCCTCTGTAATGGATGCCTATACAGTATGTGTGTGTGTGTGTACATGTGGGTTACTTGTGATTTTTCTGTGAACTAAGATGATTAGAGAGAGACGGAAATGCTCCATATACTGGATGCCCCACATAGAACGACCTGTCACTGTCCAGCGGCCTGACAGCTTGATGATTACAACGGAGCAAACATTCACCAGGAAGCACTGTTCATATGAAAAGTGTTGGGTTTTACCATGCCTCAACACATAGATATGTTGAACATACAAACAAATACATTTCAAACAATCTGTTTTTCCATTCTTTAAAAGCCTTAACCTCACATGATGTACATCACTTTGATACAGCTCAGTATATAATATAAAAGGAACATTTCCTTTTCTTTTTATAACCTAGGATCTTTCCTATCTATCCACAACATACTTCATTGCTGAAACTCCACTTGGTAGAACCGAGCCCAATATTAAGGACAAAAGTGATCATTCAAGTCAACCTGCTGGTGAATGAGACAGTGATTGTGAGGCATGCATGAAGGAGCTGGCGCCTATCAGCTGATGAAAGTGAGACGTCAGTGCTCGGCTAAAACAAATGTTACACTCTCTTCATACCTCTAGACGTTCTGGGTTGAAGATAATGTTTTGTGTCTCATCCAAAAGGCTTCGTAAGTTCTGACCATAGACTGTACAAAATATCAAGCACAGCAACATGACCTCATAGAGTTACTTGCCATGAAATACCGAAACATAAAGAGGATGTCTAGTGACTTTAACAGGAATCCAAAACAACATGACCTCACTTCTCAAATTCAAGGGGAGAGGATCAAGATCAGCCTTGATGTTATGTCAAAACAGAAGCAATACCTCCAGTCAAAAACTTCATGAAACTAATGCGAGAAGAGTTACACTGAGCCATAAACGACACCCTACTTCAGTCTGATGACAACTATCTGACACTCAAAGAAACAAAGATATAGATGCGTGACATTCAGATTCCTTGAATCTTCAGTTGAACACATACGAATGGCCAATTTCAGTATGTATGTACGTTGATATGAACCAGGCTCCAATACTCACTGTGATCTGTGAGAGGTGACATATGGCCGGGTCAGTGGGGTGGTGGGCGGCAGTTCTCGCAAACTCTCCCGTGTTGTTACCTCTCACCTTTGTCCTCTGGCTGAGATGGCGCATCTGTTTAACGTCACCGGACAACTGACGACTGGCAGGCGTCCATGAAGAGCAGTCCTCCTCCATGTCTGAGAAGCGGGCCTTTGAGGCGACACAAAGACAAAAATCACACACAAGAGAATAAAATCAGCAAGCGTGATTTCAAGCACTTGTCATTGGAAGTGTAAGACATAGACATACCAGATTAGATATGAGGTACACTCACTGATTCGCTCTCAGACAGGGAGGAGTTGCGCGGCTTGCCTTTGGTCTCGGAGGTGAGGGTCGATCGGCGCGTGGACTGAAAACTGCTGCTGCTGAAACGGCCTCTGCTAGTGACACACAGCAATACCCCGAGGTAGGGAATATACCTGCCGAGAGCTGACCTGAGGGAGTGATAGAGAGACGTATTCAAATCTATAATTCAACTGATTTTATTATGTGATAGTGACGATAAAGACCCCTTGACATTCCCGGATGCCGAGGATTTCAATAAGAGCAATCAAATTCTCTCTGGGAAGAAGTGAATGAAAAAATGTAAATATAGTTGCTATGGGGAATATCATTAATGTTGTTGTACATGATCAACTATACAGCCTGAGCACGTACAAGACATCCATAGTGTTGCGAATCTGACAGTGAACTATAGATCCAAACCTAGACTCATTAACCCTTAGTGTCAATGATAAACAGATCAGCACGACAAAATTACAGCATACGAAAAATACACCGTCCTGCAGTGCTTTTTATTAGAGGCAGGTGGGACTGACGTAAACACTTGAGCGTGTGCAACCTACCTGTATTTGGGATGTGTTATGGCATATATGATGGGGTTGTGGATCGCGGATGCTTTGGCGATCACAGCAGGAACAGAGTTCATATACGGAGTCAACATATCGGCGTACCTGAGAGACACAGGAGAGAGGTTGGCAAATGAGAGAAGGAAATGAGACACATTCATGTGAATAGAGCAGTGGAGGGTGTGGACTAGTGTGGAAACACAGGAGTGGGTCACACAATCACACCCACATTCATGGAATTGTTTTAAAGATCCCATAAAATGTGTACTTGACATTTCTGGAAATACTGTATTCTGTTTAACTTTACGCTGTATTAGTAAGAGCATCCAGTCATTAAAGAACAATACTGCCTTTCTGCTCATCCTATTCAGTTCTTATTGAGGTGTTTTGACATCACTAGGCTGTGAAAAATGTCTCCTTAGAGGTTATTGACAAAGCAAACATACACATACACACCTACCCAGCGAATGCAGTGAGGGCTGCACAGGAGTAAGGGGCCCAGGAGATAACAAATAGCAGGATGACGATGAGAGCAATCTTGGCCATCTTCCACTCAGTCTTCATTTTATGGAACCTCTTTGCTGAGTCTCTGGTTCCCTCACAACTGATCTTTGTTATCGCTCTGTCAAACACAGACACACTCAACATAGTTATTATGAAAACTTATTTTCTTTTGCTTTTAGTTTATTTTAAGATAATTTGTAATTTTAGATCAAATTTGTCATTTCAAGATCTTTTTTTTTTTCAGAAGGAAATTTGTGTTTCTTTTCGTTTCTTTTATTTTGACAGCTGAGTAAATTGACTTGAACATGTATTGTACTTGGGTGCACACAAACAATTTGCGTCAGACGCACAAGGCAATATGAGTTCAGGTTGAGCGAGACATAAGAGGAAATCGATAGAGAAACTCTGACACATAGTTAATCAACAAGACATCAGTATCAACACATACACATCACCCGTGTCTTTATCGATGCATGTGGGAGTGTGTGTTGCAAGAGTGAACGCGATAGGAGCATGAATGTGTTTTGTGTGTGTGCATGTACCAACCGCGTCGTGTGTCGGATGGCTCTGAAGATGCAGCAGTAGCTGAAGATGATGATGAAGAGAGGGATGAAGAAGACGAAGGTAAAGAGCAGCATGGTGTAGGAGCGGACAGACGGGGTAAACGTCATGTAGTCCCAGGAACACGACGTCATCAGACCCTCTGGGACATAAGCACCTGTGGGAGAGCACACACACATTAGTAGTTTCAGTCAGACAAATCCTATTTTTCTGTCAGTTTCTGTATTCTATAACTTCCTGCGTCTTCTTAATATGAAAGACATTGAACTACTTCTAATTGTACCTCTTTTGACAGTCCAGTTGTCAAGTTTTATTACGTTGATGAAAGTAATTGTAACAGCTGGAAGGAATACATTGACATACAATTTGGTGTCATCACTGTAAATAAAAATATTTCTGTTAACCTTCCCTTATGCAACATATTACATTATGTACTGCACTGGAATTGACTAGGATTGTGAAGCCCATTTATGGACAACAAGTTTGGTATCTCAGGTCAGTTTTAATTGGTTTCATTCATAATTCTTTAAGACATTTTTTGTTTTCATTCCTTTGACCTGTGGAGTTCCCCAGGGCTCTATACTCGGTCCTTCGCTGTTCTCTGTCGACATGCTGCCACTCAGTTGAATTCTATGCAAACACAACACCGATTCATTTTCATGCAGCTGACTCTCTTTTCAACTTTTCCTTGATTGTTCCAATCTCCAGCAACTTAACGGCCTTCACGAGTGTATACATTTTGTACAAATAAGTGCATTAGTATGTGAATTTAATAGATTACAGTTCCATATACCTAACGTTTGGTTGTCCCCATTGGTCATCCAATCATTTTTGTCTGGTTTGGGCCCCTTTTAGTAAAAATGTTTTGAGAAGGAAGTGCTGTTTCCCTTTTATTTAATTTGACGTGAAAGTGGAACGTTTTGCTAGATGCTGACCAACATTTCTACATCATTTGCATCATAAATGATTGTTGGGGTGTTGTAATGTCAGCTACAGGTAAGCAGGTGATGCCTTCTAATAGCTGATTGTATTTTAAATGTATTTGGCATATTGACAGAAATCAACTTTCAGCAGGAATTTGAGACACTGATGCAAATAAAAACAGTGAAAGAGAAGTGCTAAAACAGAGCTTAAAAAACTAAATTCCTCATAAGATTCCCACTGATCAACAATGACTCAACATTCAGGCATCTGTGTGCAGTTATACTCACTCCAGCCAAAGAAGGGGGGGAGGCTCCATCCTGCAGAGTAGACCCAGGCAGCAGCCAGGATGCCCAGGGCTTTCCTGCGAGACATCATCCCAAGGGAGGCCAGAGGCCTGGTGATCACCATATACCGGTCCACCGCTATAACCATCAATGTCATCATACTGCAGATACCAAACAGCGCTCCGCAGAAGGCATACATCTCACAACCTGGAGGAAGGGAAGTGAAAGAAGTAGTTCGGTAAGGACAAATATGTTTGACCCTAATTGTAGCTATCAGGATGAATCCATTGTCTGTAACTGATTGTGTTTCTCAGTTTTACGGACGGTTTTGGACACGTATGGGTCATTTTGTTGCGGTTTTGTCCATCTCACTGCTAATATACAACATCTACTACACACATGCTTCATTATTCATTTTAAAGAGATTGTAATGAAAGTATTTACATGCAACAGTGTTGACAATGTCTCTTTTTGTTCTAAATCGGATACACACGCACACTTATAGATATATGTGCAAGCCTGTACACACAGAGAGAGACACACTCAGACACATTGAAAAAATCATCACCTCAATCATCACTTAATCGGTTGCTGTCTCTTCGGGCCCTGTACGTGCGATTACCACCGACTTGTCACACATCATACACTTAAGGTGCCAAGTAATCGCATCCAGACACATGACAAAATCTGAAGTGTGTTATTTTTAGGAAGCACTAATCAATAAATGCATTTCCAGTCACCTGTTTCATTGTTTCAATTTGCACATGAAAAAGCACAGAAATTTATTTTTTAAGATTTATTTTTTAAATTGCTCATTTGGTTGAAGTGGAAAATTCTGGGCAACAATAAAAATAAAATGTACAAATTACAATGGAAATAGACTTAGGGCATAAATTATGAAGAATGTGACTTAAATGCCACTGAAGAGACGAAAACATCTGTATTTATCGTCTGTATGGAGCTATGGGGTGATTGTAATGTTCCTCAAATCAATACATGAAACTAACATAAATGCAATATTTCATCTTCACCTATCATGATTTCCACATTTATCCAGTGTTTGAGATTTGATTGTCATTAATTATGTCATGTCGTTGTGACATTCTGTGATGGTTCAATGGCAGCGACTTGAGGATTATCACCACCAACCTATTTATCTAAATGCACCTAACTCCTAATGTGCGTTAATTTGCAGATTTTCTGGAAATTTGGTTAAAATGTGAACATTTTGGAACTTGCCAAACAGTTTTGACTTTAAACGGCCAAAGAAAACACAACAAAAAGTCAAGATTAACAGCTACACACCATGAAACAAAATACAATGGAGGCGAACAATTTGATTGTTTAGTTGTCATTGAGTCATTGTATTTCTACGACTATATAGTGCGAGGAATTCTGCACCTACTTTCTGGGGTTTTCTTGTTTTCATTTATTATAAATGTTGGAAATTGTTGGGAAAATGTGACCCTTCGAAAAAACAATTAGAGGATCATCAAAGTCATTAGAACTCATCCTTTGTCCAGCAATTGTTGAGGTTGTGTTGGTCGAACTGGTTCTAGTAAAGCAGGATGGATAAACACAAATAAAGGCAATGCACAGTTGGCTTTTGCTTTATGATTTCCATCTACCCATTTATCTACATCTGTGTGTGTGTGTGTGTGTGTGTGTGTGTGTGTGTGTGTGTGTGTCTTTTGAAAAGAACAGGCAGAGGGAAAGGTAACCTTTGCAGTTACCAACTTTGAGAATTGAGCTCTAGATGTAACAGCGATATGTTGTCTTCATCAAGGTCAGGACAATTCCTGAAGGAAAACCCAGCGCTCTGACTATCAGTGTTTGATCAGTAGAGTGTAGAGAGCTTCTTTTGACACCTCTTTATCTCTGCTCCCACTATACATGCTGATTTGTAATGCACACTATGGTACACCCCCTCTCCAAAGGCAAAAGAACACACTACCAAAAGGCTTTCTTGCTTGTTCTTTCTGGTCGATGGGACTTGGACATTGATTGAATTGTAGGTCACATTCAAAAGGGTAGGGTGCCAATACAGGTCCCTGTGGAATATAAAGTGTGTCCATTATTGTAATGTGTGTGCCTGTGTGTGCGTGTGTGTGTGTGTGTGTGTGTGTGTGTGTGTGTGTGTGTGTGTGTGTGCACCTGTAAAAGAGTGTATAACATCATGAGACTATGTTTAGATTGCTTTTCTATCAGGTAAAATACAAATGTAAAATCATATGTAATACTGTTGTTATGCATTTGCTACCTTTCTTTCCAAAGATCCATCGCTTGTGCATGCTGTTGATGAAGAAGGTTGGTGTCTGAGTAAAACACATGAGGAAGTCTGTGACTGCCAGGTTAATAATGAAAATGTTGGACGGTGTCCGCAAGCTGCGACTCCTGCACAGACACACAAACACAAATACTGTCATTAATATTGGACTATGGATAATCTCGTTTTAGGTGTTATTATCACAGATACATGTAAAAAAGTGGTGCTAAACACAAAGCTCATTCAAAATGACAGCACAAGAAAAAGTACCTGCAGAAAGCATATATAACTAGGAAGTTTCCCAGCATGCCTGTGATGCCCACAACCAGGATGACAACACCGATGGTGTAGTGAGCGTGGTCTGGGACGTCCACGGTTGGAAATAAGTGGGTTGGAAGCACGGAACCCTAGCGACAGGAACACAGGGAGGAACAGACGTCAGTTTGTCACGATCAACTGTAATTGTTTTGTTTGCGTTTGGCATCGTGCACATCGAATGCTTGGAGGTTGGAAGTTTAACATTTTTACTGGGAAAATTACGACGTAAAAATTGTAATATCACAAAACATTCTCGTTATTCCACAAAATCAACATATATCGTGAAAACAAACGTTTGTCTTTATATGATACGATACATTCGCATGTTGTCATAACAAGAAACTGCTATTTTTTTGCTAGCAAATTCAAAATAGTTAAGATAACAACTTGTTTCTGCTGCCCCCAAGTTGCCCAAAAAAATCTGTTTCCTTGTTTGAATTATTGTCTGCAGCTCTGGATTCTTCTTTGTCTCATGTTACTGTAAGTTTTCATTGTTAACTGTAATTGACAGAACATCTTTTTCTATGATATGGAGATGTGGTGTGTGTGTGTGTGTGTGTGTGTGTACTGTAAACTGTCGCCGTCATCTGTGATGCGGTGGATCAGGTCTCCCCTCCCTCCCTCCCCTGCCTCATTCTTTCCACATCCCTGCCACTCTCCTGGCCTGATCTCTTTCTTATCTCCGCTATCGCTGCTGATTCCTGACCCCTGTCAATTCCCTCCTTCACTTCTGTTCCTCTGTTTCCTTAATCACTCATTTCTTTCCCTCTTGCTTTCTCTCATTTCCTCTCTAGCGGCGCGGGTCGAGATTAATGACGATTACATGGCAGGTAGGAAGGGGAGGCACGGTGAGCAGCATGGAAGTCTTCTTAAAGATTGTAAACAATGGTTGGTAATATCTCTCTATACACTCTCATGTACATACCAGCATTAACAGCTGTGTACATGTGTTTAAAGCTTACAAACATATGCACTGTAACACAGTTAATTTCACTTAAAAATTATGTGATTAATGTGATTCTGCATACATATTGCATATCCAATCAATATTGGAAAATATATTGATTTCTGCCATATGGCCCAGCCCTAAAATATACATTTATAAAAAGTACAAGATGATAGTAACAAATTTCTTATTAGGATATGGGTTGATTATTAGTTTGCAGCTGACACATTATTAGCAGGGGGAAATAGATGAAGACCATTATTTTGTTTGCACAATTACAACCTTTTGGTCTTTGACTCAGTCAGTCAGTATTTGACTGATTTAACTTTCATCAGGTTTCATCACACTGAATACGAACGTAAAAAAACAAAAACAACAATCAAAAACTACGACATCCTTTCTTTCTTCAGCCCAGAGACTTGCAGTATTGATGAACGCTGCATGAACTGATAATCTGCCTCTGAATATGCCTCACACCACGAGCAAGTCGTTAATCAGCCAATATGTTGCCTCTGCAACTTCAGAGGCAAACGCATTTCTTTACCAGCTAATACAATCTAATCAACTGCAGAGCAGTCAGAGGACATGATCACAGAGGGCCACACACACACACACACACACACACAAACAATCACAGTCTGTTTTTAGAGGAACACAAATCCAACTACAGACAGTCAGAAGCTGGGCCCATATTCTTTAAATCATTTGATTGTAGATTCGAGGATCAAGAGAGAAAAAGCAACAAATGTCGGTAAAAGATAAAGAGGGCTCCTGAGAGACACATAGAACTCTTTTAAAGAGTTTTAAATGAAAACCACACTTATTGCTGTGTAGAAGATCCCATCTGACTCAGGAGAAGCTGCCCTCGGGCACTGCTTCAGTATCAGCTTTCCCAGCAGTGCCATGAAGGCCAGACCACGAAAGCTACTGAGACCGAAGCCTGCTGGTCTGAACTTCAAAGTCCAAACCGAACCATTCACACTTGTTGAACTACAATTTACCATAGCGGTGCACCCATGTGCTTCTCAGTATGTGTTTCCAGCAGCTGTTTCTCCCTCAAATCAATGTCTTGACTCCTGGGGAAAAGTGAATGCCCTGTACTTTCTTTTCATGCTCTGTACAGTACAGAGGTGGATACACCACTGTATTGGTTTACACATCTGTATAAAGGAATTCCCTGAAGGCTATGCGTAAACTAATCCCACTGTCAGAGAGAGAGAGATGGAGTCCCATACATCCGTGAGGCTTGGTTATGAAAACATTCTCAACACACATCCTTCCATTGTGTAAAAATGTGTAAATAAGGCTGCAGGGGGAATGTGAGTGATGTAAGAGTTGGCATGAATACACAGCTTTAGATTAAAGAAAGCATATATTGTGACTTACAAACAGCAATTCAAATCAGCATCTAAACCAGTTATATGTCTTTATGCTGTCTTGCTGCAAATGTAATTTCCTCTCATGGGACCTGAACTGAATTTAACCTGCAGCCAGCAGTAAATTAAGATACACACAATAGGTTTATATGAGATTATTAGAGCACATTGTGATTGTGATTCATCTATAAAAACGCTATTTTGTGCAAAACAATGTTCCAAAAGGCACATTTGTGCACAAAGCAGTCCTCTGGAATGCTACAGGAATTCTGACATGAGACAAGGTCACTAAACTCACCACAATTTCAGATATTTATGAACAATTCTGTAACATAAACTCGTGATACAAAAAAAAAGAAGCAATGTGCACTTTCACTACAGAGGTGAAAAATATCTGCAGCAGCTTTTTACAACCATTTCCTACAAGTGGAGACCCCAGAGATGACTGGAGTTGCGTTTTTTACGCCTGCTCTCATTCAGCTCCGGTGGTGAATGAACGGAGCGACGCGCGGGGGAGGGTGCGGTGCGATTCCTTCATTCACATGACACTTAACGTCAAGCTCACTCACACCTCCCTCATAACGGTATCGCTCAAAATGGAGGAATGAACACAGCAAAATAACATTAACCTGACAGTTTCTATCTGTTTTGCCAGATGGGGCGAGTTGGTATTTACGCACTCAGGATCGGATATTGATGCGGTTACGCATCGCTGCGGCGCACAGAAGCTCTCCAGTCACACCGAGGGGTATCCCTTCAAGCAAAACAAAATAAACAAACGAATAAAAGAAGAGGGGGTGGCGGATACTCACAGCTGTCGAGACAGGAGACATTTCCATGAGCCGGTGAGGACCGATGGAGCTGATGTTCCAGGGCGCCCGGGCGGTCGGGTCCGATGTGGGGACCCCTGGTCCAATCAGAAGCCTAGAATCCATTCCCGGACCGGTGGTTAATGAAAAGTGGTTGTCTCTGTGTGTGTGTGTGTGTGTGTGTGTGTGTGTGTGTGTGTGTGTGTGTGTGTGTGTGTGCGCGCGCGCGTGTTAGAAGTGGACCAGAGATGTGCAGAGTCTATGAGGTGGTCTGGGAGTGCAAGTGGCCAGTCATCATCGCCATCCTGCTCTCTTACCCACTCTGACAAGGCTACTGGGAGTACAGCAGCTGTGGAGGGGTGGGAAAGAAATGTTCTGTCTCTCGTCCAATCTCTGCTCCGGGGATGCCTTTGAGTGTGTCATGTGCGTGCGTGCACTGCAGAACTGGACATTTTTCTGTTTGTTTGTTTAACTTCAAGGAATAAATGGAGCGGGTTTTCCTCTCATGTGCTCTCTCCACAGACACAACTAAATAGGGCAGTCATTAATACAATTCATGCAATCACAACAATATTTCTCATGTAAAAAAATCCCTGGCTTGTGATCCATTTACAGTGTATTTTTGTCCCCTTGTGCAGCAGCAGAGAACAACATGTTCAGGTATAGCTTGCAGAAGTATTGCTCACATCTTCTATGAAATCTTTATTCATTGTATTGCCGCGACATGACTCAGACAACTGGACTGTGTTTCATAAGGGCAGAGACGGGCTTTGGATTTTTAGTGCATCTGTGGGAAAAGGTCGAGGTCGCAGTAGAACATGCTGCTATAAAGACTGGAGAAGGAGATAGGATTAAAAGGAATTTGTTGTTCAGGGTTGATTTGGACAGATATTCAGAGTATGTAATGTTTTAATCCTACAAAAAGGAAAGAAGGATTGAGTGAAGAAGTAAGAATTCAGACAAAAAATGGAGTGATGTACTGAAAGGAAACATGACCACTTCACGGTAAATTGTTTTTATTTTCAACTTGAGTCTTATCTGCGTCCATTCTGACAACTGGTCTCTGTAACGTAGTTTATTTATTATTACTGCAGACACATTGTTAGGATCCCAATGCAGTTGGTAAAAACTGATGACGGAGGCTGTGTTTACTTTTGGTCAGACTCAGAAACAAGCGTTTTAAAACATGAATGTGAAACTTAAGTTAATTGGGAAAACTTCAGGAGGCTGGCGCTGCTTGTCCTAACCAATGGAATAGTACGGAGCAGTTCAAATGAAAAACACCATCATTTTCTTTTAAATCAATCGATTTACTCCTACGATAACTGGGTTTTTTGCTCTTTGGGGCATGTGTAAGCAATATTCTAGCAACGGTTTCGTTTTTACACATCCAGCAGGTACTGAGGAACACAAGTATTGATTTGTGTTTCTGGCCATGATGAAGGGAAGTCCAATATTCTCTCTCTTTTTGTTCCGTCTTTGTTCTCCACCAACTCCTGAGGGAAATCAATGGGGTTTAGCTGCTAAATGCAGCAGCTAGATGCTCCACTATATTAACCAGCTCGTCGTTAATTCTGTATGTCTGTCGTTTGAAGCTGAGCAGGTAGCGTGTAGGTGGACTTTTCAGAGATTCCTCACTGAACACTGAACAACCGCTGCCTGTTCGACGCTATAAGAGTAGTGAGAGTGAACCAGAACAGTACAGTTTCGGGCTGGGCAGCTAAACAACGAGCTGAAAGATGCTATGAGCTTCATAGAGCTGAGGGGAAGTGCAGAGCCGAGAGTCTCATGACCCCGTTCATATATATAAGTAGTTGTGTGATGCATTGTATATATATTTATTATATCACTTTTAAATCTAGAAGCATGAAGATATTTCCCTAAGCCATTTCTTGTCTCGGTTCAACTGTAAGAAAATCCCATTTGTGTGTGAATGTATGCTTTGTACAATTTATTAAAGGGGTAGCTCAAAGAAAGCAATCTGATTGGTTCATATAGTAACCAGATACCACGGCTTTGACGAATAATTATGATAATCAGTATCACTCCGCGTCTGAAAAAAACCCATCAAGATGAATGAACTGTGGTTGCTTTGCGACAGGGTCACTTCCACCAACATACTGTTACATGAAAACACAAAACACCCGTTACAAAATGATAACATTTAAGGTTAACTTTGACCTCGAGTGGTCTAATTATGGGGAGTGGTCTGAGCAGTCTCCAGAAATAAAATCGCTAAATGACAAGCAGTGCTGCTTGAAGCTGGTTTCACAGTGGACGCAGAAGCGCCGCAAAGCGTAATGATTCTGCCCTCTCCTCCTGCTATTCAACCTGTCATTAATGCAACTGTCATTATTGATTACCATTAATGGCCCTGTAATTGCCCCCTGAAGACAACAATGTACTCACTGGCGTTGTGAAGACCCTTAGAAAGTAAGGACTCAACATCACAACATCATCATGCTTTACTATCAGAAGATGACTTCACAGCGATAAAGAAGGTGCTGGATCGCAACACCCCCGAAGGGCTGGTAAAGAAAATGTGCTTCGACATCTAACTGCCCTTTGGGCGCAGGCTAAAGTATTCAACACTGCCCTTCAACAAAGAATCAAAGGAATAAAGAGAGCACAAGGGGAATCCGGTATGAACAGCCTGACGATCCCCTTTTGCTCCGTTCCATTAACGGAGACATATATCTACCACCTATTTAATATCCAGTGCCGTCACAGGACAGGCAGCATTATTACACATCGAAGATGCACTAGGCTGCAGGAATTTCTCTCATGTCTCATGATCTCTGGGGAAGGTACAAATGGATGGCTGAGCTGCTGTAGAGGGCGAGGAAGAGAGAACTGTACTAGAGCATGATTACTTGTGACTCTCACTGCTCCTGTGAACAATAAAGCGTGCCTTTAACCTCTACACAAGATGACATTGAGCCAAACGGCAGAAAGGATGAAAGGCTGAATAATTGATTGGAAATATGTTCAGATGTTGAGGAATTTTAGCGTGACAATCTTCCAGTTTTTGTTCGTTCTGGAGAGAAGAGCGAGGTCTTGTGATGCCTCGCTTTCACGATGTTGTATCCCTTAACCTCCTTTCGTTCTTCTTGCTGCATCCCTCTCTGTTAGCCTTTGTGCTTGCTTTTGTTTTTTGCACACTAACCCATGCCCCCATAACTCAATTCACCGCTTATATAACGCCCTATTCCGTAGTCAACAATAATATTTTGCTAATGCTCTCTAATGCTGTGTAATGCTCCATACAGCATAACTGCCTTAAACTTGATCAAGGTAACCCACCTCTGGAATGCTAAATGTTGAAATGAGGAAATTCTGGGACACAGCGGATCAAAGTTAACTGTGGGATTTACGCTTGTTTGGCCTGTAGAAAGATGTGAGATACAGGAAAGGTGAGTGACAGGAAAAAGTATCTAGTGCCTTTTCCGGGCTTGACCCCTGTGCACAGGGTCACCATGCTCTCTGCACATTTGCCTCTTTCATAGCACCGCACTAAATCATTTACTTTTAACAACTTCTCTGCCACAAAATATCCACAAACACACACACACAGACACACACACACGTGAGTTTAGGGTGTCTAACCGTTCCACTTCTAATCTTCTTCCCTTCTCACTGAACTCTCTAACAAACAAACAAACACATCCTTCCTGAACAGGGGTTGTGTATTTTGATGATGTGCGTAAAGCGTGTCCATGCGTGTGTATCTGCAAGCAACGCGGCCCATGGAAGCTACAAGACCCACAAAATAACTGGTCCCATGACGGGGAGTTCTGGCTGATATTAAGAGGATCACAATCTGGACTTACACAACAGTAACATTATATAAACAAAGCAACTAATACAAAAACCAAAACAATACCACTTTGTGTGGCAAGACCCCCCCCTCGACCTTCCTTCCTTCCTCCATCTTATTCCTGTTCGGGTCAGGTGAGGTTATTTAATGACCCAATTTACGTTTGTTTGTTTTGTTGTCAGAAAAACATAATGCGTCTACCAGATTAGTCTATTAAGCAACATTCAGAGAAACTAAATAGTAAGTAAATCCTACATAAACATATACAGCAGAATAAATTAAAGGCTGTAGTAATGACTCAGCTGTTTGCAGAGTCATTTCATTTAAGAGCAATTAAAAGTAAAGAACTGTTATCAATTGTAACAGTCAGATTCCTCTACTTGCATGCCCACTGACTCCGGTGAAGGGCAGAGGAATTTGGATGAACTAGTAAAGATAAAATACGTTTTTCATGGTGGAAAAAGCACATGAATAATGGCTCCATCCCTGTTAACGTTACATCTACAACATATCAAATATGAAAAATAAAGATATGAGGAATGCAGACGTCGTTAGCAGATAAACTTCAGTCAGAGAGGAGACTTGGGAATTTGCTTTTCAAAAACTCGCTGTCATTAAATGTTAATACGCAACAAAATTCAGTTTTTTGTTCCAAAAAGTTCTGTCGGGCCGAGCAAACCCAAAGAGCACCTGAACGGACACCATCCCTTTATTACTAGCGCCATCTGCTGTTACCCTCCAACATCGCAGCTCCAGTTGCAAAGTGTCATACCCCATAGCTCCCATTGGGTCAGAGACCCCATCTCAGCCTTTATTTAAGGCTTTATATAAGTACACAGTGATATCAGCCTGGCTGTATGCCTCAGACAAAACTGTTTTGCTAGGTGTAGTTCTGCATTCAAAACGATAGGGCTTCTGTGCGACAGGGGGCTGCCATGAATGATTGGTAAGATGAAGAGAAGAGCCATCAGATGGGGAAATGAAAGAGCTTTTCGATGACCACAGTTGGCAATGAGCCACTTCAGTCTGACTGATGATGTCTAGTGGCGTTCTGCTTCTAGACATGTTGTTGGAACTGGTGTTTCAATGCAGGGTATGTGAAGCGATTTGGGAAAGTGTAGTGTCTCTGAGGCCAGGTCAAAAGCTTTAGATATCTTTTAACAGCAGACCAGTCTTAAAACTCCACCATCAACTGTCCTTCCTCACTTGCTGCTAAAGAGATTGTGTGTGTTGAGGTAAACCAGTTCCCCAGCTGCACTCAAAGCATCCAAAGGGGCATACAGGCAATGCATGAGTGAATGTAGGTTCAATACGTGACTCATATATCTGATTTTATGTCTTTAAATTCCAGGAAATAAAA